AAGTCAACAAGATGGTAGCAATCACTGAGTCTGTTTAATAATGCTAGGTGGTAAACTCTTAACAATTTTCTTTTACTAAGGAGGAAATATGTCAACCTGCTATAGACCACTGGACTGCCATAAATTTTATTGATGTCATGGCCCTTGAATTACACCATTTATTTTCCTTAACACCTCTTGCACATAAGTTCCTTTACCAGGAATTCATTATACTTGCTACCTTCTACTCCCATCAAATCACTTTGATGTTATCCGTATAGATGTCCAAAGTAATGTCTTAGGGCACTAAGACAAATGAGAATCCCACGAACTAGATTCTTACAGAAAACTGTGTGATTGACATGGTTCTAAGGTTAGATGGCAAAAGTAATAAGGATTACACTGAGCATTGAAAACAACTGACTTATCTCTACTTAAAAGGAGGAAAAAAAAAACATTTAATGATTTTAGCTAAATATCCAGTTCCAAAATTTTGTTAATTTGCTTCAATTAGCTGACTACATGTGGAACAATAATAAATGTCATACTCCAAGTCTCTCCAATTTCTGTTCAGGCTAAATGGGAGAGTTACATGGAAGTATAACAAAATATCATCCCTGAATCTTTTAGACCGTGAAAGGTGGCATTCACTCAGAAATGTGGCATTACCTTTGGTCATTGGTTTAATGAGGAAGAGACATTTTAGGAGCTTTAACTTTGTCCTTGATATCATAATAGCCCTCATTTCATGAGACAGGGGGGCAATGTCAGCCAGAGGATGTCTGGATTTACCTATAATTACAGGAACTGGGAAGTGTATATTTGGGGATTCACTGTGTCATTGTAAACCCCCATTTTGACTGATGACCAAAGTAGTAATTTTGGTGCCTGATAATCATCAGCAGCTGAATCAGTGTCTTAGTAATGACCCCCACACTGTTTCTCTTCTCTTTTGGTGAAAGATAGGAAGATTTATATTTATATTTCTTGTAACATTGTTGCAGGGAACTTCCTTAAATGAAATTTCCTTAAGGGAACCTGATGTTTCCTTTACCTAAGCAGCTCTGGGTCTATACACTGGATCTCATATGGGAATTTGTTAGGAGCTGTGTCTTTCCATTGTGACAAATCAAGTCAAGCCTGTGTTCACCAGATTCAGAGTTATTTACTTATTACGTAGGACTTTCCTAGGTTGCCCATCTATTTCAGACTTAGGTATAATCATAATATGATGCCATCTACCATAGATATCCACAGGCTAAACCATTCTAATAATCACTGTGGCTCTGCTAAGCATGACGAAAATCATGGCCACATTGTCTCTGACATTTAATTACTGCAGTTTAGCTTCTCTAATCTGTGACGCTACCATTTCTGCTGAAGTTAGGTACTATTTCAGAGACAACCTCCTTCCTTTCTCTGTTAGGAAACAGTCATTACAAAATTTCTCAAAGATGTTGGTCCTTACCAATATATTTCTCAGACACAGTAAGGGAATAGTCAAGTGGATAATACACAATAAGTCTCCAGTATTGCTAGCTCCATAAACCTTTGATTCCTTCCACTTCTGAATCTTTTTTTTTTTTCCAATTCTGAATTTCTAACATACATCTCATTTTCATGTAGGCTATCCTTGAGAGTCCAGGTTTTAATTAAATAACTGACAAACCATTAAAACCATTCTTCACTGTTGAGCTCTGGCCCCAAATTAAGAATTTTTAGTAAGTGCGCCTATGTCAATAATTTTGGTGCACTCCAAAGATATGTTTCTTCCTGCTTTTTTTTTCTTTTTTCTTTTTTTTTTTTTTTTAGTACTCTGAGAATCTATTCCTATGCATTTCTGCAGATGAGAATTAGCCAAATCCTATCATTCTAAAATCTCCTTCCAGGATAGAGTTATGTATTTGTCCATCTCTGGGGCAGGTTATGAGATATTTCTCCTTATAGAAACTGACTGCAATGGCATGTACCTGTAGTCCCAGCTACTCTGGTGGCTAAGACAGGACAGTCATTTGAACCCAGGAGTTTGGGTCCAGTCTGGGCATCGTAGTGAAAACTGGTCCCCAAATAAATAATTAAAAACAGAAATAATTCTCCATATGGATCCTATGACATTCAAAGAGGAGAAAGCAGGTTTAGGGAAGACCAGAAATTCCTTGGAAGGGAACTGCCTTGGTTGAGGTCATTACAGGATTTTAAGCAACACAGGACTAATATCACCTGAAATCGGGGATGTTCAAAGGGATCCATATTCTCAGAGTCATCGGAATCTACCTGAATATCCCTATTCCAACTCTTTGGATCCCAATCCTTCCATAGTCAATGCCACCACATTCTCAGCAAACAACTGGACTGAGGCTGAAAGTTTCAGTTTTGAAACCCACAGGTCAAGCTTTAGATCTTGTTTTAAGACATTTTAGGTCTGCAGCTATGAGATACATGGGGTTTCATAGGGTAGTCACAGAAGCTCCCTTCTCTTAGGGAAGGCCTCTTACAGTCAGTCATAGAAGGACACAAACACCTCCTTGCTCTGAGTCAAGAATTTAAAACACGAACTAATTTTCTTTCTGTAGGCTCTGCAGTGCAATCAGAAGTAGCCTTGCTATTCCAGTCTTTACATTCCTCATTTGCATCATAATAGTGTCACTTGTCTGCCAAAGGCTTGCCTTTCACAGCCATCCCATTCCAGGTGACTATAGGTGACAATTTAGCTATTTGCTTCATAGAAAACAGAATTCCATTTTCCACTGAACATGAAGTTGTCATTGTCCATAAACTCAATTAAGTCAGACAGCCAATCCCATATTATTTTAGGAATCTGTTTCATCAAACTTCAGTGCTAAATGCTGCATTAAGCAAGGTTTAAGGAATGGAATAGTTTGCCACTCAAGGTATTTCAAGCAGTAAAACTTCTAATTCTCAGGATTAGATGCTTATAAAATTATTGGTCATTTGAAAAAATAAAAGTCAAAAAGTACACTTAGACTTCAAATGCTATTCCCACATATGGCACAACTGGTATCACAATTATCACTGAATGCATTCACAAAATTGGTGAAATGACAGTAGTACATGCAGTCCAGCTGTTGCCAACATTTTTACCTGTAGGAACATATTTATTGATTGTACTACTACAGAAGATGACAACCTCCTATTCTGCCTTCTTCAAATTTTATTTATGATTACCTCATGTTGACAAAAACTAGATTTGCAAGAGAATCACAAGCATGCAAGGAAATCTGAGAAATGTAATTTTTAGTTCTCCAGACTCTAATACTGAAAGAAAAATGAGAGAGAACATACTAGAAGAATGGTAAGTTAATTCACACCTATAAACTTCTAGCACATTAGCCTGAAGATGGTGCTGGATTTTTTAAGTAGTAAACATTCAGGGTAGACCTCTAGAATGTATACTTCAAATCTCAACTATAATCATGTATTAAAAATGTGTTCCCCAAATTCATCTGACTGCTCTTTTGCCCACAGGTTCATACACTACTTTGCTTTGTGGAAGACATATTAGATACCACTTTTTCTAGGGCTGACCATAATAATTCTTTTTTTTTTTTTTTTTTTTTTTTTAGTTTTAAGCATTTTTAATCTGCTATGTGTTATATATGTATAAGTTTATTTTTTTTTTTTTTAATTTTTTTTATTGGTTGTTCAAAACATTATAAAGCTCTTCACATATCTGACCATAATAATTCTAACAAAACGAAAACACTTAAATGTTATTGACTAAACATAGCTTTGAAGAGCAGTCATTTGTTCTTTTGTAACCATGTAATATCTTTATTAAACTTTTCTGACAAGAATTGAAATTTGAATACATTTGAAATTCAACTATATGTAAAGAGCTGGCACTCTATCATATTCTTATAAAAATGCAAATGTTGCATAGGATTCCCAGGTTAAGGAGATTAGAACATAAGCTGTGCTCAAAAGTGAGGCAAGACTGTTGGTAACAAAATATTACCTAGACTCATAATCTACCCACACGCTCATTGCTACACAGCTTGGTAGTCATTATTCTTGAAAGACTGGTTCTTAAGTTATCCTCACAGGGAGGAGAAACTCAGTTTAAATATAATGAGTGATAAGGAATTTCAACTGGATACTTTTCTTTTCCCAAAATTAAAAAAAAAAATGTTTTTTGTAAACTTAGAAAAGAAGCATCCCCCTGACTTGGCTAACATTGCCAACAACAACAACGACAACAACAACAAAATGGATTCAAGGATACCTGAGACTGACAAAGTATCTGAAATATGCTTATGGACTAATGATACACTTATTGTTTATGAGTCATAGCATTGTATTTAAATTGAAAAATAATAATGTTGAGATCCTACCTTTTCAGAAATGGCTTTATTATTTAAACCTTCCAGGATTTTTTAAATTTAGGATGCCTTTTAATTTGGATACATTCTCTGTGTAGATGTTTAGATATAATGGTACCTTCTGATAGTTGTACTACATAGTGTGCATTTAATCTCAACGGAGATACTAGTTTAAGACACACTCCCAGGGAAAACCTTGCACCTGAGAATGGGGGAAAAAAAATCAATAACTCCAAAGTGAGTTTCTATTTAAGATCAAATAGGACTCCAAGGAATAAAGGTAAGAAGGAAAATTTATTCATGTGTGGATGTGTTACCATGCCTTTACGTGGTAAAATGAAAAAGACAATAAACAAACCCCCTAAAGTCTACTATTTAAACAGAAAAAAACTTTCTCAAAGGACACAATAAAATCTGTATCTGGAAGTTGGAAAGAACACCAAGGGTAACTCAATCGCCTCTTGCCCACCTAAAAATTCTGTCACTTCAGCATTTGAAGTCAGCTATGGGCCACCTTCTTCAGTCACAAGGTTCTTCTGGTGATATATTCTAGAATCTGAATGATCATCAAATGGAAGTGGTTCTATATATTAATTAATTTTAATTTTTTTAATCTCCTTCAGGATTCAAAACATGCTATCAAATACAAAGTTTTTAAAACATGTGCCTTTCTTTTCACAGCTGTGCCTTCCCTCTGCCAACTGATATTCAGAAAGCCAACTTCTAACACTTATATGATTCGTAATGTTTTGAAACAAGAAATCTGTTTCTTCGGGGACTGGGGATGTGGCTCAAGCGGTAGCGTGCTCGCCTGGCATGCGTGCGGCCTGGGTTCGATCCTCAGCACCACATACAAACAAAGATGTTGTGTCCGCCAAAAACTAAAAAATAAATATTAAAAAAAAAAAAAAAAAAAAAAAGAAATCTGTTTCTTCTGCTTTTCTTTTCCACAATGATTCTTGCCATTCAGAAGTTATCTGCCTAGAATACCAAAGAGAAAGCATGGATTCTACAATGTAGTGCTTAAACAATTGCTTTCCAAGTTCAACTGCCAAAATTACTTACATGATGAGTAGCAGGTGACAGATGTCCTTCAGATGGTCTATGGTTGTTGCTCAGGTATAGACAGCTCAGCCTCGTGGTGCCTCTCAACTCTGCAACTCCATTTACCACCCTGTGGGATGCTTTAATCTAGCTCACCCAGGTCTAAGCTGAGCATGCCAGCTTATATCTGGTTATCTGTTGTCATCTTTTCCTCAATATGGATAGTGTTGTGAATACAGCTGGCTGGGATTATGGCTATAACAAGGAAAGAGTTGAGACAGTGTGAACAACTCAGTCTGGTGTTGCATCCTAATGAGGGTGAGATTCAAAAATTCTGCCCCAGTAGTCACTACACAGTGCCTAAATTGTTGTATTAACAGATAACACACTGAAAAAACACTTCTACCTCAGGATCTGTTTCTCATACACAGGGCAACTGAGTTGAATATATGAAACAAACCTGTACATTAAGATATTCCTAATAAACTAAACACTACTTGACATCATATTCTAACATGAACATCATAATGCATACTAAAATATATGAATGCCTAGAGTGTAGAATGAAGAAAAAAGAATAAACTAATAATGTTAAAATCGAAACCAGTCATCAGTCAGTATCCATCAGCAAAACAGAGTCAAGATAACACAGAGAAGAGAAAGAAGAGCTGTAGTCACTGATATTATTAGGAAACTTGCTGTTCCAGATCACAGCTATTTCTAGCCTAAATGTACATATGCAAATATTTAATAAATTCCTGATTTCTGTTTAATAAAGTGTTTAGTTAGTAACCGAGTTTTATTGCAAAGGAAATGCAATCTTTATCACTGAATCTTAGATACAAGTCCTAGATACAAGTCTTAGAGATATTATGAAAGGTATTGAAAAAGGCTGTACTTATCGCATTTTAATATCAACTTTGATAAAGAAATTTAAGAGTAAGGACTGAATGATGTAGCAGAAGAACACAAGAGCTCTCTATGTAAAAATAATTTAGAAGAAAATACTATGTTTATGTCTGAATTCAAGGCTACTAATATTAAGTAAAAATATGCTGCCATTTTTACTAGAAACTACAATCAAGTTCTAGTTTTATTTCCTATGTAAGACATTAGTAGCAGAAAAGAATTAAGAATATTAACCAATATTAATCAATATTAGTAATATAAATAAACATCTAACAGATAATTTAATTATAATAAACTAACAAAAAATCACTTTTCCCATAGCAGTAGTATATTTATTGTGCTGAAATCAGGAGGCAGGGAATGGATAGCTCTGGGGAACCAGTACAGAATGTTCACAAAGATTTACAAATCTCTAGTCATTACACACTGAGGAGCAAAAACAAAGGTGTTGATTCCTCGAAGACCAAACTATGTGTGCTGCATATTTTCTGTAATTCTCATAACTGCATGCCTTTGGGGGAAGGTATATAATTTTAATGCACAATAAATATTTTATAGTTTACAAAATATTCTGAAATCGTTTGTACAAACAGCATACATCCTACACATGCAGTTTTGACATGTTGAAATACTTAGAAATATTCATGCTATATTTGTCACATTTTCTCTTTTCTATAACGATCCCTCTGTGACATCCTCTAACAATTTAACCTATGTAATGAAACATGGTACAAGTTTTCTTTTCCACTTTATTTCTAGTTTTTTTTTCATTTCTACTGTATGAAATACTTCATTTGTAAATAGCAAATTTAACTCGATAGCTCTGACAACTCTCACTGTTACTCATTTTGTGTTTTAACAATTAATACTTTATAACATCACGCACTGAATTTAACGATCTTTAGCACCAAGGAGTCAAGGATATTGCACCAAAATGGGTTTACACTTCATATTTTTGTTAATAAATAAGATTCTGCAACTTAGTCACAAGGGAGATATCACTCCAAAATTAAACACATTGAGAGAGAAGGAGAGTTTCACAGAAATGTCGGTGTATGCTATTTGTTAAAAAACAAACAATACTAGTGGATTCAAAAGTTAAAATTAAAATTTACATTAGAGGACTCCTTGATTTGTTAATTAAAATTTATTTAAGTGTTCTTTCCAACAGAAGAGGTAGGTATATTTCCACATATGAAAAATCAGTAACAGCTACAAATCAAAACAAGGAAAGCCTGATAAAAATCAATATACTCTCAGCTAACAGCACACAAATGAACTATCTTGTGATGTTACTAAGGACACGAGTTGCTTCATGTTTCAATCATACAATAATATTAGTTTTCATAATATGCTTCTGCTAGTAATAGGAGTACTCAAAGGCTGCCTTTTCATTACAAAAATTGTTTCCCACAGTGATTTGTGCTGAGAGTCATGGAGACTTTTGGGTCACAAGACAGGATTTTACTGTAATTCTTTCTTATTTTCACCAACACCATCATCATCAAGCCTCTAAGATTCTACAGAGATCAGCAGATTTTTTTTTTTTTTAATTTAATTACAACCAAAAAGGTATATTCTGACTAGAGGTGGAGAGATTTGACCATTCTGGTCAACCAATGAATTCAAATGCACAAATTTAAATGTATCCAGATTTCCAGCTTTGGACAAGAAAATGTAAGGTAACTGATTTTAATCAATAGGTAACTGGTAATTGAGCCAAATAAAAATTTTATAAAAACTCTGTGATTGTCTAAAATTCAGACTGAAGGACGAATGAATGTCGGATACAAGAAAATTTCCCTCATTAGACAAGTGGATATGAACAGAGGGAGAGTGTCCAAAGTCACATTAGGACTGCTTTGGTCTGGACAACATCAAGGCTAATAAAAAAGAAGGTTTAAAATAAAAACTTCATAAATAAAACATCCAGGTATTGTATTTAACACTTTACTCAGTCTAAAGATTACTAGTACATAAAGTACATTTGCCTTTTCTCCCCACCCCCGACTCTCCTTTGCTTCTGTTTTCCCTGAAATTTTATATGACATTAGATTTTCCTCACTGTCAACAACAGTTAAGGCCCAGTTCAATTTACTCTCCTTTTGCTTTTCCATTTTTCTGATTTTTTCCATTTTCTATCACTAGCTGCTTTTCTGATTTGTTCACACCATTTGCTGAAATACCATTCATGGTTGTTTTTCCAGCTTTTTGTTTCTTAGGTTCATTGTATGTCCGAACGTAGAAGTTGAGAAAGAGAAATATGAAGCTGATTGCATAGGCAATTAGAGCCCAGTGCATCCATTTGGGGAAGGGGCAGTCGGTGTAAAGAGACAGAGCTGTGTGCCCAATGGTCACATGGAACTGAACCTGAAAAGCAAAAACAGTGAGTGATGTACTTAATCTGAATGGTAAACAACTTTTAACAACAATATCAGAATTTTCTATGTAGCTACACACTGCTCAAAATGTTTAATATTTCTGTAGTTTCATCTCATTCAGATTATAGCTCAAATACCATCTCTTCAGCCTGGGGTCCCTAAATCCTGTTACCCACAGTGTGTGTGTGTGTGTGTGTGTGTGTGTGTGTGTGTGTTTAGAGAAGAATGATAACCATCTGAAGCTGTCTTCTGTATCTGCTGATTTCTTTACTGTCTACCTTTCCATCAGAATATAATTCCAGAAGGTGGGACTCTGTCTTGCTCAAGATGATTCCTGAGTTCTTGCCAAAGACTTCAGTGTTTGGACTATTTGAATATTGGTTGAATAATGTTATCTTATAAGAGGAAATCAATGGCCTAAAAGAGTAAAGCTGTAGTATCGGAGGCTCTTTGTTGCCCCCACACACACATTTCAGACTGACTTTTGTCTGCCAAAGCATCAATAAGCAGGAATGTCTACTTGAAAATGAACTTATCAAATGGCTCATCATTTAACTCTTACAGAGTAGAAAGAAAAAATTTCTATCTGTATGAACACTATTCTTTAAAATCGAATGTTCTGATAAAATTTAGTATTACCTGAAGTAAACACGAAAATAATTAACTTCATTTTAATAGTTCTTCAAAAGAGAAAAGTCAAAACTTAGATCCTTAAAATAAAATAATTTTAAATTCTGGTATATTAATAGGTGAGTGGTTTGTGATGTAAGAGTTAGAAATTCTATGGTATTAACTTTTTATAAGATTAACTTAATTAACTGTTATGAGAACTTCTGGCTTGGAAATACAAATTGAACATTCTAGTTGGAATGGGCTACTATGGCTTCTTTTTTAAGAAACAGCATGACCAGTACTGTTATGTTAAATATCATTAAAATAATTTATTCCACATAAGCCAGAAATTTGTATCAATTAAACAACCTTTTCTAGTTTCCCATGGCAAAAATCCAAATTTTACAAACTTTTGGTTTCATAATGATTCTTAGAACCTGCACTACAGAAAAAGGGTGTGTAAAAGGGTGTGAATTGAGTCTGGCATTACTCAAGGAGAGCAGGACCAGGCTCCAGACAAATAGATAAAATACTTCATATGATTTTGGTCATCTCTTCATTTTCTCAAGACAATTTATAAATTGCTGAGAAAAATGAATTATACAAACTGTATAAACAGGTTACACAAAAACTGGAGGAAGTTTCCTGTAGCATTTTGGTTACACATGAATTCTTTACACCCAGCATTCCCCAAAGGTTGTGCTTCCTGTTTGGTTAGGTAGCTGTTTAGCAACTTAAAGCAGAGATGGTAATGTTTCCAAAATGTGATTCCACTGATAAAATTGTGTACACTCTATGATTAAAGCAAATTATAATAAATTCTAAAGCTTGGAGATTAACTACCACTTTGGTTTGGGTTCTTAGTTTGATTATAGGCCAGTGCATAACTCTGGATGATGCTCTATGCGTGTACTTAGATACTATAGGAAGTCCTATTGGGAAAGTGCTGAAAACTCTTCTGAAGACTAGCATTTGAAATGCCTGTCTCTGTTCTCTAAAGACAGGATTTTAAGAGAATTAAGAGGTGTTCCCTGGTTCTTATCCCATTCCTTGGCTCTGTGTCTTCTTTACAATTTTACGTTCAAAGTATGTGGGATCTGTTAACAAGAACTAAAAAGTGGTATAAAAATAAGAAAATTGGGGGCTGGGGTTGTAGCTCAGTGGAAGAGCTCTTGCCTAGCACGTGTGAGGTACTGGGTTCAATCCCCAACACCACGTAGAACTAAAACAAAATAAAGGTATTGTGTCATCTACAACACACACACACTCTCTCTCTCTCTCTCTCTCTCTCTCTCTCTCTCTCTATATATATATATATATATATATATATATGAAAATTTAAGCAGGACAAGATGAAGAGAGATAATAAATTTTTAAATTAAAAAGTCACTCAAGGACTGGGATTGTGGTTTAGTGGTACAACGCACGTGCAAGGCACTGAATTCGATCTTCAGTACCACATAAAAATAAATAAATAAAATAAAGGTATTGTGTCCAACCAGAACTAAAAAAATAAAAATAAAAAAATAAAAAGTCACTTAAGAGCAAGGTGTGGTGGTGCATGTCTATAATCCCAGCGGCTTGGGAGGCTGAGGCAGGAAGTTTGCAAGTTTAAAGCCAACCTCAAGAAACTTAGATCCTGTCTCTACATAAAATATAAAAAAGGATGGGGATGTGGCTCAGTGGTTAGGTGCCTGGGTTCAATCTTCCAAACCAAAAAATAAAAATAAAAATTACTCAAGAAAAAAAAATACTATAACTTTTCTAGTCATACATGAATTTATGTACATTGTGGTATACTAATATCTTTAACCATCCATTTCACAGGTATTTTTAAAGAATGCTTCTCTTAGAGGATAAGTGCTAGATGGAGCCTTTAAGGACTCTATAAAATAGACAAGTAGTAGCCATGGCCAATAAACCTATGAATAGGTAGGTTAGAACCAAGCAGTCTCAATACTACAGCTAGAGGATGAAGTTAATTTTACAATAGAAAATTGCCTAAGATGACTTAGCATTTTACAATGAATAATATTCAAACACAGTTAAGTATTTTATCAGAAGAAACTGTCAAAGTATGTAACTCACCAGCTGCAACATGGTTAGGTATCGTTTCCACCAAAGATACTTCTGAATCCATGGGCCAAAGGCGGTTAACCCATAGTATGAGTACATAATCACATGGATGAAGGAATTCATCTGGGCTCCGAAAAATGCTATAGGAAAATAAAAGGTAATTCCAAGATACAGAAAATGTTACTAGACAATAAACCATTGAGATAAAAAAATAAATGATTCCACGTTATTTTCTAACATTTAATTTTGGGGGACAGCCAAGGATTAAAAGACAAAGTAATACTAACAAAAAGTCCTTATCTCAAATTAAGGTAGACATTTTTAAAGTTTAGATTTGAGTTTTTATCATATAAAGGAAAATATGTGCTGCTCGCAAAGGACTTTTAAAGAGGTACTCCAGTGAAAACTTACCTCTTTGAAAGTCCTGACATAACACTATTGCCTTTAGTCCTTTTAATTCTAATATTCTCAGGTTAAATAAAAGGTTATGGTACATATAAAAGTTTATGTGGACTTATAACTGTTCCATTTTGTTGTCTTTAGAGGTGCCAATTTACATCTCAACAACAAAATAGTATGTCTTAGGTTTCTATATAATTTTAAACATGACAGCACTACACACATTGAATAAACTGTTTAGTTACATTTAACTCTACAAAGACATTCCAGTTGGTCTAAATCAATGGCATTCTTTCTTTTCAAAATATTAACTAAATCAGTGATTTATGGGCTCAGTGCAGTTACTAATTTTCTTTTTAAATAACAAAGCTGGACTTAAACTATATTATTTATTAAATAATAAAAATAATATCATTTTATTAAATGGTAAATAAATTATAAGTGTGAACTTCTAAGTTGCCAATCTCCATGTGGTCATGGAAAGAAAGCTGCAAGGTGAACTGTACTACAGTGACTTGTGCCATGGTCCTCATCAGAGAAATGCTCTCTTTACAGTTTAAAGATGTGAATTATCCTTACATTCCAGGCATTTTCAAAGACTGGAAACAGATCTCCACCAAACTAAATTCATATCCTCATTAGCATTAAGGAGGCCATATTAAAATTTCACTTAAATAATAACCAACAAGGTCATTTAAGGCCTACATTAGAGCAAGAATGAATGATGGGCTTGGATTGCAGATGAAATCATCAGACTAAGAATTCTGTTTTCGAGTCTTTAGGATCAGAAGTACTAGAACTGTTCCACATCAAAATATTATTTTCTGAATTCAGGCTTGTTTTAGGCTCATCCCTGGGATAAATCTTTAGGTGTCAAATAGTCACAGATAAGAAACTATAGCTTTACTTTCTTCCATTTAAAAAAAAAAAAAAAATGAACACAGAGATGACTTAACCATTCAAGGTAGTGAAATGATATGCCAGATAAAATCACCAGTTCTTGGTACTTTCCACCCAACACATTTATACATCACTTAACACATGCAGATCTATTCCTGAAAATGCTCACCTTGTCCCCCTGCGACCCATTTAATTCCAATCCACCACAAGGTAAACATGGTACAGTGGTGATACACATGAAGGAAAGAAACCTGATTGTTTTTCTTCCTTAGGATAAAAAACACTGTGTCCAAATACTCAACTCCTTTAGATACAAAGTACCACCACAAAGCAGCAGCTATCTGTAAAAAGAAAGGAAAAGCATGTTGTAAATAACAAATGATACTATTGTGTGGGTTTCAATTCAATGCAAATAAACTTCAAATACATTACACCAAATGTACAAGGCATGAAATAATTTATACAACTAGGTATCATCACACAGTGTTAAACTGCTGAATATAGAGCTGTAAACATATTCACACTGCTATGCTTTTCAACTTGGTAGAGAAACTGAGACGTTTACTTTGTAAAGACTTAGGTTTTTTACATAGCCTCTGCTACACTCCCAATAAACCTACAGTAAGTTTATGCACCAACTGGTCTCTATCAGTGTCTGGCTCTCTCATTTTAATATGTACAACAAAGAAAGTATCCAATCATGGTGGCTTCTTATAAGGTAGTAAAATCTTAAAAATGATAAACTGAAGTGAAAAACCAAAAACAAATATTTCATAGGTTATAAATATAATCCTGCTTACATGAATAAGTCTTGTGTTTTCCTAGGGTCTAATTAAGACACCAGATGGTGTGGAAAGATTACATTATGGGCTGAGATTAAGGATCCAGTAAGAGGTGACCTCTGAATACAAGTTTTAAAACATTTTAGAAAAATTCTATAATGATAACCACAATGACCTTTTTTGTAGAACATAACTAAAATTGATAAACTTTTGTGTTAGAAGCTTGACAGATTGATTCATAAATAGGCTTAGAAATTTTAGAATTGTATCTAGTGGATGTCATGGTGTTTGTTGTTTGTTTTGTTTTTTTGCTTTTGTATGTGTATATGTGTGGGTTCTGTTTTTGTTTTTTCCTTTTTCTGGTGCTAGGGATCAAACCTAGGGCCTGGCACATACAAGCACGCTGCTTTACCACTGAATTATAACCATGGCCCCAAAATAACAACTTTAAAATGTAGGGAAAGAGAAAAGAGAAAGGTCCATTAAAAAATATCTTGTGATTATAGATTGAGAATTTATTGAATTGGCTTGAACATATTGTGGAAAATGATAAAATTGGTTAAAATAGGCTTGACATGCTCTGCTCATAGCAATGCTACATTTACTATTCATGATCATGGTAGTACTTTAACTATAATCATTATGACATAGTGAACTTCAGGAGGAAATAATGTCTTATTTTTCCTCGATATGGGTCTCTAAATTTGCCACAAAATAATAAATAATTATTTTCCTTAGTTTATAAACTGCATTAGGTATCACCATAGATTACACCAAAGTGAAAAGTAATATTTCTTGGCTACATAACAAGGTATATAAAAATGAGTAAAATATTCATTATACTGCACCCAAACACTAGAGGAGAGCCGTAGGGGAAAGATTCACAATGCAATCTGTGCAAATCTCAGGTTCTTTCTCCCATATTACAATTCTCACAATGGCCATTTTTTTTTTTTTTTAAGAACTAAAGTTAATGCATGTCAGGAGGGCAGGTTCACAATTAAGAGTGGTAATTTTGAAACTCTATCCTAAAAATATTTATAAGTCGTGACACTTAAAGGGTTTTGCCAAGTGTACTTCCAGGTAAAAGCCAGACATTGCCACCTCAATGGTAGCTGTCTACTGAGGACAGCATCTGGTAATGTGGTTATCAGAAGGAATTTTTTTTCCTGGCCAGCAAATTCTCAGCTACATCACAAGTCTTCTTTTCCTCTTAACCACTTATTTACATGCTGACTGTCAGCTTCCCTACCCTCACTAGACTGCCAGCTCCACTAAGGGAGAGACCTCACCTGTCTCCACATGTGGTCCCAGTGCCCCCCGCAGTATCTGCATACAGGGGATGCTTAGCATGTATTTTCTGAATGAGTAAAAACACATGACAATCAAAGGGGTGATTTTTTATCAATCCATAAGCCTTTTACTAAGGAAATGAATATATGGACTAAAATGGTAATATATGAACATAAATTGCACATTAAAGCAATTTGGTCTTGAGTCTTGGTGAATATTAAGGTTTATGTTGTCCAAACTCCCATGTCAGAAAGCTGCTTTTCTTAAAGGAAGCTACTATAGGTTATATACCATTTCTATATATATTACATATAAGGTAAAACAGAAAACAGATTCTGTATACATTTTATGTTATATGTAATTTTTCATATAAGCCACAGTATATAAAATGGTTCATTAAATACTTAATAATTTGTTGTTTCTCCCACTTAAGTTAAATGGTAATTTGATTAATGTAGATGATTGAAAAATAAAATATAACATATGACTAGTGGTTTATTTTTCTACAGATGCAATAAAAACTGAATTCATATCTGTATAAATTGTGTTGTACTTGTTTTCCTAAATATTATATAGTTCATAAAACATTTTCTTTTCCTCAGACTCTCTTTATGAGTTTCTATTCTTGATCAAAAATAACTAAAATCTAAAATAATATCTTTACATAAAATGGTAACTTTTTTCTTTTTTTTAATACTACAGTCTAGGAATCCAATTCTTATTCACTCTCACACAACCAAATTAAAAAAAAAAAACATACTAGAGGTATGAAAACCAATTTTCAATTATGTGCTTGTAAGTAAAAGCATAGCATTATTGACTTAGCACCCAGTCTAATTTCACTACCAAGCCATAGTACATTTCTCACTGATGGGGGCCTATGAAACTAAGCCACTTATATTAATTTTAAGTATTTTAATGTACTTACCCTGACTTCATTAACGTTATTAGAATAATCCACAGTCTGGCAAATATAGCTATATCCTGCATTATATGATCCCATGAATAACTGGAAAAAATGAAATAATATTTGAAGGAAATTTTTAGTAGATTCAGCAACAAAAATAAAAAATTTGAGGAATAGACGAACTCTAGGTAGGGCAAAATGGTTGGAGGGGAAGGGAGAGGGCATGGGGTTATTAATGATGGTGGAATGTGATGATCTTTATAGTACAGGTATGAAGTACATTATAGTACAGGTATGAAGACACAAATTGGTGTGAATATACTGTGTATATAACCAGAGATATGAACAAGTGTGCTCTATATGTGTAATAATAAGAATTGTAATACATTCTGCTGTCATATATAAATAAAAAATAAATTTAAAAAAATACTAAAAAATGTAACTACAAATAAAAAAATTAAAAATCTGATATGTAACATATCAAATTAATTTAAAAGCAACATTTTCTTTAAAAATTTAAATTATTTTAAATACTGCAGTCTAAATTAAAAAAACAAATGTAACCTCTGGACTGAAACATCAACTCTATTTACTTTGTAATATTAAGAAGTTTTAAAACCAACACTTGGATCCAAGAGTGGTCCTGTCTTAATGGGTTTCTATCATGGATCTGTTTGTTTGCAACTAACAAATTAGGTAAAAGTATCCAAGTAAAGCAAATGAAAGTGTTTATAAAGCTGAGACTCTGTAGGCTAAACTGACAATGAAGAAAGATTCTTTTTTGTAGAAGAATTACTGTTTGTTGTTGTAGCATTACTAGTCAGTTCTCTGGGATAACAGAGTTTCATGAGTCTCTTAGGAAACAAATTCCTTACACTCTTGCAACTTAAAAAAAAAAAATAGATGTGTCAATCAGCTTTCAGGATTTCCTTTCAAAAGTTCATGGAGAATTTGCTGATGCCCAGAAATGTACAAAATGATTAGTAGGAACAGTTGTATTCCAGGTAACTCATTTCAGTTCTAGCCCAAAATACATTATATGATAGGACTGAACTTCAAGTTGGTACTTATATCTATTTTGATCAGTTAAAAAACCTGAAACTAATGAATAATAATTTAATCAAATATTTACTGAGTACCTAACATGTATCAAACACTATGAAAAGGTTATCTCACTTAACTCTGATACTAACCCCAAAAGGGAGGTATTTCGTTCATGTTAGAAATAGAGGAGCCAAAAGAAGGGGGTTAAACAACTTCCAGTTTCAGAACTGTTAATAACAAACAGAAAGCTTAGAATTAACTCTCTGGTTCAAAGTTCCATTTTAAACCACTGTCCTGTACTTCATGTTTAATATTTTATTGTCCAACATTTTTCTAAGTGTAAAAAAATTTACTTGTAGAGTAGCGACCTTGAAGTACAAGATTGCAATATGGCTTTATGCAGTCTCATTTCTTAATTCTCTGTAATTCTGAAGAATTATTATAGAATGATCTTAATAAACCTACCTCTCTGAAGATGAAAAGGTTAAGCAAAACCATTCCAAAATTATAGAGAATGAGCACTAAGCGCATCTGAAATGGCTCCCGGTCCTTCATCCACTTTGGACCCAACCACACGAACAGGAGATAAAGAGTGCTTATGCTTAGTGTAGGCCATGGGGACTGCATCAGAGGCCAGTCTTCCACGCGTTTATCTAGAGAGAACACATAACAAAATCCACTAAACCATGCGTGCTTTACAAAATAAAACTTTTAGGAATTAAAATGTTTCACCTTAATTTCCTAGTTGGACCAAAAAACATGTCCCTGTCTTTTGAGTCCCAGTGAAAATACATGGTATAAAAACCCAAGAAACAAGACTGATTTCTGCAGTAGCTTTTGAAAATCATTGATTGCTTTATGTTATACATTAAGTTTTATAGAGAACTTGAATAACAAAGTTCATTAAAATACAGGAGAAGAGCCTGAGCTGAAAAGATGATGAAAGACAAAGTTCACGAGGGAGTCTACTACCCAGGGAGTCTTGGCTGTATCACTCACATCAAACCCACTCCAGAGTTCAAAATGGACTGAAGTCTCTGAAAGACAGGAGAGAGAACACACCTCACAAGGAGGAAATGACTTAAAAGGTGGCGTGGCTGGCTTCTGTCAAAAGGCCACTATGACCTTTCAGTGATTATTCACTTTTAAAATACTATTTTATCCTTCTATGCTAATTATCCTTCTATGGCCATATGTTCCCATGCCTAAGGTCCCCCATAAAACACAGACTGTCTATCTGCATAGGTCTCTGTTGAATTAGACAAACTCATAATGTCTAAATGCCCTGGTTTTGGTCCCTGGAGCAGGAACTGCTGTGGTGTCCTTTCCACAAACACTAAGGCAAATACTGCTTTCAAACAGACTGATGCGAACAGCAAAAGTACTACTAATGGTATAATGTGTGTAACAAAGGAAGGGAGATAAATTAATCTGTAAGGAGATATTAATTTCTAACATCATGGATTATTTCTCATCTTTACTAAACAGAGGAGTCCTATTGTCAAAGAAAGTTCTGAGCAGCAAGTAGGAAAAAATTTAGAGAAACAGGTTTAAAATTTTTCCAGAAATTAAGGGTAGATAAAAATATTCTACCTTTTTGATATTGGTGCCACACACTGTATCATCCTCTCATTCATCAGAGAAATGGAGAGAGAATTTCCAAAGAGAAGGATAGAACATGAGTGAGAAGCTGAAGATCTTACAATAAGAAATGCTAAGGGAGGCCAACAGAAAAGTAGAAAGGTGGGACAGGGCAGGCGGGAATAGACAGGAAAAGGCACTACCAGTGGGCAGACTGGCTGGGTTCTAACGCTGGCCCTGCTACTGAGTGTAGGACCTTAGAGATGCAATCGCTCTTCCTCTCCTTCATCTACAAACACTGAAGGGGAGCAAGGGGTTAGACTGGTGCTTCTCTAGCTTAAATGAGACAAAGAATCATCTACAAAGAATAACTGAAATGCAGGTTCTGATACAGTAGGTCTGGGAGGCAGCACATTTGTAGCAGAGTATACTTGCTGGGAAGCTCCAACTGAGGCTATGCCACTATCCATGGACCACAAGTTAAGCAGTAACAAACTAGGTGTTCCCTTCAGTTCCAGTTAACTTTTAAAAACAGTAAGTAGGAGGAAGAATGACTTTAAGGTGAGGAAAATTATAGAAAGGAAATTTTCGTTAGTCAGGGACCCATTCTACACTGAAAGAGAACCCACACGTGCTTCTGTTCCATTATGGCACTCATCACTCACCACTCACCCTCCTTCAAGCTGTAACCTCTCTGAAGGCAGGGGCTGGGGCCTTTATTCTTTATTGCAAGGCCTATCAAGTAGCCTAAACATTTACTGGATTTAAAAAAATAAAGAATGGATAATTTTTTCACAGTAGTCCTTTAGGTTCCATCCCTCCTGTCAAATCCAGCAGTATACACTGAATTCTTACAGTTTCTTCAGTGTCCAGCAACCCTTTCCTGCAACTCCTCTCTGATCCTCTTCTGTGGCAGCACAACTTGAACCTCAAACACTGCATTCCAGTATTTGGTGAGTATGTCACGCTATACGGCTCAGTGCCCTTTACACCATTGCTCACTCCAGAGAGGAAAAGCAATGCCTTGACTGCTTTCCTCATCAATGCAAGCCATTTATTCATTTAGCAACTGCTTAACAAATCCGTTTTCAGCCTATAAAATGCTACATATAACACCATACCCTTCTCCAAGTAGCCCTTCCAGTTCACAAGGGTCAGAGCACTCTCAAAAATTCCACCTCCAATTACTATGGACGTGGGAGTAATTCTCAGCACCAAATCACAGATGTAATAATGCCCATCCAAATATTTGCATGAATTTTCCTCAAGTCTTTACATATTATTATACAAGTCATACGTGTTTTTCTGTACTTACTTGAATATTTCCTTTAGAGTTTCTGATGAGATTCACATGTCCTACATGACTGCTATGTTTTTTTCTATTAAAAAGGCAATGCCTGGGCTGGGGTTGTGGCTCAATGGTAGAGTGCATGCCTAGAATGTGTGGGACATCAGGTTTGATTCCCAGCACCACATGTAAATAAATAAATAAGTATATAAATAAAATAAAGATCCATCAATAATAAAAATATTTTTTTAAAAAGCAAAAAATAAAACAACAGTGACAGGTCCCCTAAGCCTTGAAACAAACAAAAATTATAATCTACTTTCAGAGGACAGAACTGGTACCAGTGAGAATCATACAGTAATAAATTTCACCTAAATTTCTAATCACTGGATCTTTCCTTTCACATGTAGAAGGAATTGTCTCCTTTGGTAATAGGTCCCCCCCCCAATTGTAAATTAAATTTAAGTAAACAAAAGCCAAATATTACAACCTGTCAATTTCCATAATAAAAGACTTTATTATAATAATGGGAATTACTAAGAAATATTGTCTTTTACTCTTCCAGATCCTTAAGGGTTAACTCTCTCTCAGGAAATAGTTTCCACTGAGAATAATTTGACTGTTTCATAAAGCTTATGACAAGTTAAACTGATCTGTTTACAAACATTCATTTGGTCAGCAATCATAATTTTATCTCTATTAAAGGTCACATAATAGTTACACAACTGTATTTGTCAGAACTGGCAAAGTGTCTCCTAAAAGGAGTTAATTTACTCTATGAATATTATAATTTTTATAAAAGATGTGGACAAAATGGTCCATCTGAAATGGGACTTTCCTTCAATACTCTCCACCAACACATTTCTATTTCTAATCTGATTTGTATCTTAAGATCACACATAAGTGAAGTCAGACAGCTCTATTCCTTCAGAGCTAAGTGGTTTGGGGCAAGTTATTTTGTTCTTGGCCTTTCAAAGTTCATTATCCATGATAGGAAGAGACAGATGTGATAACTCAAACAGCGATGCAACAGAATGAGTATCTGAGGAATGTTTTAAGTACATGGTAGCGCAGGAAAGAAGACAAGACAGGCTTCAAGAGCAGACATTTGAACTTTTTCTCAAGAGACATTTGCCACCAGATAGGAAGAAAAGTCTTTTTTTCAGTGGGCAAAATTAGAAAAAATTATACAAGGTTCCATCAGTAGAATGACAAGGGATACTCAAATGAGAATATCTGAATACCACAGAGAACAGAATGTATAAAAGCAGCCCAGAAACAAAAAATAAAACATTTATTTTGGAACAGAAGGTATCCACAGGGAAGTAGCATAAGGGATCCTTTTGAAGGTCTCACAACCTACAGGTTGTAAGAATTCCAGGAGGCTGGATTTCATCACATGGATCATGGAGAGATATGTGCTTTGTTCTGGCTTTTAAAAGATCATGTAGAGGCAGTGAGAGACTGGAGGGGAAGGGGATGTGTCAAGAGGCAGGGAGACCAATCAGATGTATGGTTCCCAAATGCTTGTCTTTGCTAGACTGCACACATAAAATGTGCATGCTTGTTAAAATATAGGTTCCCAGGCCCCACCCTAGATTAAATGAATCAATATCTCTGCAGGCGGGGCCCAACACCATGATCTACTATGGTGATTGCAATAGGCAGGGAAGATACAGAGACCACTATTATGCAGGAGATGACACAGGGACTGCAGTGGTGATGGATAGGGCAGGCAGGTATGGATATTACAAGGGTCAAATCTAGAGACTCACTATTACAGGTGTGACAGGTGAAAGTAAAAGTTTAGGATTACTCTCAGATTTCCGACCTAGAACAGATGGGGAAGTCATGATCCAGGACAAGACTACAACAGAAGAGAAGCAGATCTTGGAGGAAATGACCAGGTGAATGTCACACACGTCTTGTTTAAGGCACTCCTGGGACACCTAGGTGGAGGTGGTATCATCAGGCTCTGTTGCTGCAAAGGAACTGCCAGGGCAGCAGACCCACAAAGGAGTTATTGGCCACAAAACTGTACCAGAGTTTGAGGTCACAGGTAAAGAGCACACAGAGGGAAAGAATAAAAATGGAAAGGATTAAACCTGGGGACCCTTGATGGGGAGAGTGGGTGAAAACGGCCGCAAATCAGCCAGAGAGGCAGGAAGAGGGGAAAGGATGTTTCAGAGACCAGGACAGCAAGAAGCTTCCAAAAGGACAGGGCAGGCAATGGGATCTACAGGGAGGGAATCAACTGTTCTCTACTTTTTCCATTTTAACGAGGGTTGATATGTGAAGATTAAATGAACTAAAGTATGTAGAGTTCCCAGCCCATCATGGACACCACTCACTCCCCCTCCCTCCTCCTGCACCTTACCTTTTCCCTCCCTCACACTGGGTGCTCAAGTCAGGAATAATGTGAACCCCCGCCCCTTCAAGGGCACACCCCCTGTATCTCCTCATCACTTCTTCCTGATCTATAGACTTCTCTAGGTCTTTGAACTTGAACTCTCAAATTGGACTACCAGCATTAGAATCTTTACCTATCAGCTGAATAAACCCCAGGAGCGAGTCAATGTGAAGAGCTAAACCAAATTAAACAACTAAATCAGTATTTGAACTTTGAAGAGTTTACACTTAGAAGACAGAACACTTCATAATTTATACACTAAAATGACAAAAATTTTACGACTTGGTCTTTATTTGGGAAATCAAACACAAAAATTCCCACAAATTGAATTTTTAATTATGTACAATGGCTGTTTTTGATACTTCTCTTTAAAA